TGAACTAGTGACACGGACCGTGTCCATAGTGTCATTGTGTCGCCTGCCAATGACGTCATAACCCCTCGATTTCCGGTTTTGTTTTGTAGAAAACATGGAAACACCAAAGACGCTTTAATAAGTTGTGCGTTTTATTAGACCGGTGACGACCGCACAGAGTAGCATTATAACAGAACTAAATGTATCTAGTATGATAAAAGCTCCGCTGCTTTACCCCACATACTCACAACCGGAAGCAGCGGAAGCGCTCGACTGTGGCATAATAAAAGCTCCGTTGAACATGATTTCTGCCCGAGTCCCGTCGGATTGCGTCGGCTTTGGGGATGAAGACCACAACTCCCATGATTCCACACTCAGTCACGTCATCATCTAACTACGCCTTTGTCTCTGTTTGTTTTGAATACGCGCCCTCTAGCGGCAAAAACTTACATATTGTGCCTTTAAGTTCTGGATCATTTCATTCATCATATTCATCCAAGTTGAACCAACTTCACGAAACGTGACGTATATGCGTTAATTTGGAGTGCTGATTGGCTGGAGAGTACGCCTCTACATCATCAGTTTTCCCAGCTTTTCTAAGTATTATTAATGAGAATAAAGTCTTATGATCCAATCACTGCTCTGTATTATGCAAGAGGTTGTAGTACAGTGGAGAATTCAAATGTCATGAAAGAGCTAACGCGCTGTCAGTTCATTTCTGTAAACATGACTGTAACAATATTTAATATGACAACACGTGGAGCGCGCATGAGAGATCGTTTCTGCACTGAACACCGCGATGAGTTTAACAACACTCGCTGCGTGGATCATAGTTCATATCCGGACCGGAGCAAGCGTGTTTCAAGTTTATGTGAACATATTTCATATTCTCTCGTGCTCCAACACCAGCACCGTGTATGCGCACATATCATGTTTTCTTCAAATGAAATATGCGCGAATAAGGGCACTGATACAGCAGTAGGCTACGCATCATCATGAACACGATGACACGACAGATTATTGTGATACACAGCAAACAATGATATATGGACCGAAAATTAAACAAAAAGTAACTATGCCTTTATTCTTTCTGTTTTAAAGGGGTCATATGATGCGATTTCAATTTTTCCTTTCTCTTTGGAGTGTTACAAGCTGATTGTGCATAGATAAGATCCCTGAAGTTGCAACGACTAAAGTCTCAAAACCAAAGAGATATTCTTTATCAAAGTTAAGACTCTGCCACGCCCCCCTAAAACGGCTCGTTCTAACACGCCCCCACATGTCTACCTCACTGTGGAAATATTAGCATAATGCCGCCAAAATGTGCACGCAAAGAAAGAAGGCGTGGTTTCAGTAACCGCAGTTAGTGTTGAAGCAGCCATGTCAGGGAGACGCTGTGTGTTTCTAGGCGAAAGCAAAAGCACTTTATTTGGCCTTCCGAAAGTAGATGCATTTAGGAATCTTTAAGATTACTTACAACAGAACAGCAATGCTGTATAATGAGTGTGTTGTAGGTCTGTGTTTTATTGGTTGTTTTCTTGCCTCTTCCCACCCTCTACACAGTTTTACTCGTTTCAGATCTGTGGTGTGAACGACCAGTGCTGAAACAGGGGTTTCATGACACTTTAAATAAGAAGAAAATAAGTTGTGAGAATAAAAATAGAATAGAGAGTGCAAGTGTTAGAGGGTCAAGTTTTTAATATATATATATATATATATATATATATAAGAAAAAATAGATAAAAGAGAAAAAGAAGTTTGTGGAGGAGTTTTTCAGCATCAGCTGTCACGCCACCTGTAGCCACTCGACGATGAGATTCAGCTGATTGTACCTCAGTGGGATTCCTGCTTGTGGATTACTTCAATTTTCCCCGTATGGATTGATGGATGCTTTTTTACCACTTCAGAGCCAGACCCAGAGTCCACACTCTCCGCAGATAAGGAGCCTGAGTCCACCGCAGACCGAGAGACTCAACTTATGCCCACCACAAACATCAAGCCTGAGCCAATGCCCACGACGGAGCCAGAGCCAGCAGCCTCGTCCCGGAGGAAGAGTATAAGGTCCCATCTGACCAGGTGGTACTGCTTCCCACCCACGAACTCCTTCTGCATCTAAAAGTACCGTCCTGCACAGCTTAAGTTCTTCATTGTTGCGGGTCCCGTCCAGCACAGAGTTGTGGATGTTCACACCCAGCCGTCCTCTCCTGCCTGCTCCTCTATAATCCAAATTTTTCAAATAAGTAACGCCAGTTACTTTGTTTCCCATGTATTGACTTACAGCTCTCCTGTCCCCATGTTGAGAGAAATCGGGAGTAAGTGCAGATGTGATGTGTGAACGTGATGTTACTGTAAATGTCAACATGCATTTACTCATCTCGCCTGCACAAATACAGATTCAGTATTCCTCAAAATGAAAGCAAAAAAAACAAACTCAGAACTTGAAGCAAACCTGCTATAATTAAATGTTAAACATCCTTTATGTGTTCAATGCCATTTTATTATATACTGTCTTTGCTGCTGACCTTCGATGATCCATAATTCAACCATACTAATAAGCAAAAATGGCTTTAGATAAACATAACATTTGGGTTTAATTGTTTTATTGCTGAAGAGTGTTGAACTTTTTCTGCTGAGTTCTACTGTACACACGTGAATTTACATTTCCTTCAGCCTGAGGCTTATTCATTTCACTTTTTGTGCGCTTTTACATTTGCCAAAAACAGAACTTTATATATTAAAAACAAACAAGCAAGCACAGATTTAAAAAGTAATGCAAAAGTAATGTAACCCATTACTTTACATTACATTAAAGGTAACCAAGTAATGTAATTATTTACTTTTTAATGGTGTAATGCATTACTCTTTAAAGTAGCTTTCCCCAACACTGAGCACTAATGGCAAAAAAAAAAATGACTTACCCCTGCAAGTAAAATATAGACATTGTAGCCTGGAGTGATATGATTCTCTAGAGTAGATCCTCTTGATAGATACAGCTTTATCTTGAAGGGTGTCCATACTGACATCTGCAGACTGTAGAGAGTAAAAATCAACTCTCCAGAGCATCACTGACTCTCCTGTGTGAACCTCTTGCCAAAGAAAGCTATGTCTCTGAATGCTGAGATGTCTCCGGATCCATTATCAGCACCCAACTCACCCCCACTCCAATTGATTTCAAAATAGTGTACATATACTCTAAGACAGGACTGTCCAAACTCGGTCCTGGAGGGCCGGTGTCCTGCAGAGTTTGGACGGCCCTGCTCTAAGATATATTTAATTCACAAAAAAACAAAACAGACAAAACTGGAAAAAAATAAGAAATTAATAATATGCAAGTTAGATAAATATCCTGGGATTTTCTTTCTCTTTTCGACAATGGAGAGCCAAGACCACTAACTTCTCATCCAAAGACATTTTTTCTCTGCTATCCTGGTTCACTGACAGCATCCTCACCTCGTCCATCACAGTCTGTTTTCCTCCAGACTCAACGGGTGATCTGTCCAGCTAAGATCACGGGCCATTACCTGCCAGTACTTAAGGAACTTTAAATCCTGACAAAAGATCACCTGCAACCAAGCAATAAATTAGGGCTTATATTTATTATGATTCATTATTCCTCATACGTATATGCCTCTTTTTAGCGTATTATCATATGCTCATGTTTTGTCGTTTGTATTATTGTTGTTGTCTTGTTCTGAAAAGAAAGAAAGAAACTGATTTATTTATAGAAATAACATCAAATGTGCAAAGAGTTGGTCAGAAACATTTACTTTTACACAAACTGACCACCAAACGCAACTTTCAGATGGCATCTTTTAATATTTTAGCCCACACATCACAGAATGAAAAACACAGGACTGTGGGATATCAAAGGCAGAGAAGGATACATCTATGCTGGCTTCAAAAATCCATCAGATGAAGGTATGTCATGAGACAGGAAGGGAAGCTGACATTGGATTCGGGCATGCCATGATGCCTTCCTAACTTGGAATGCATCCTCCGTAGGCAGCATTTTTCAGCTTTCGGACGCATCCAATGTCTTTTTATACCAATGACACAAATTATATGTTTTTATGTCTTTTTTAACACATTGGACAGTCATTTACATTGAAGAGTAGAAAAGGAACTCTTTGATTCAATAATTGGTGGACATGATCTTGACAGCAAAAATCTCCAAGACTGTTATTTTTTCTGTATTAACACGGATTTCATTTTTTTCCCGTCCTGTGAAATATGACCCGTGTGAATTGCGCAGATCCAGTTTTCTTGTCCAGGGGGCCCAATTAAACCCTTGCAGTGCCTCTGATTGAGCAGTGTCTCATGTTTTTAAAAAGCAAATCAATAAACCTTAAGGTCAAGTGTTTGGACAGGGCAGGGATCAGACTTTAGGTTAGCTGACTCTTCACTACAGTTAGCTTTTGGAGAAGTCATTAACTTAGGGATCCGTGTAATTTTTCCTCCCTGCACTGTGAATGTTTATGTGGTACGTTGTAACTTGTTAATGCAGACTGTGATTGACTGTTGTTTTGACATTCTCAAGAACAGTTAAAATTTTACAACCTGTGTACAGAGAAATCAAGTTATGTTTCTTGAAACTGTACATTACTCTTGTTTTTCTTAACAGATATCAGCACAAACCTTCTACAAGCACTTGCCTGCAACACCTGTCGGAGAACACTGACTCAACTGGTGAGCCAAAAACCTGGGTGGCATCAGGTACCAGAACTACCCGGGATATTTATGACTTTAACAAGCAGACTGAAATAGCATCAATCGCAAATTTTCATTCACACACCAAGTTATCTCACAGAGAATTAACCGACTACACTGGTGAAGTGAGAAATCCTGTACCAATAGAAAAACAGAGATCAGATAAGGGGAGGTATGCAGAAAGAGACTCGTATGCACAGCACAGAGGGTGGGAAAACACATGGCCAATAAACTACAGAGAAATAAGAGAAAACTTTGGAACAAACAGTCATAATGAGATGCAAGCCTATGCTGACTGCTATCATCATACGCTTTCCAAAAAACCACCTCGCTTTGAGGTTGGGGAGTGGAGGTCATCTAGGTGTGCTTCAGACACGGAGAAGGTGTTGGGATATGGCCAGTGGACTGTTAGTCCAGACACCACTGAACAATTCCAGCCAACTGCTTTAATGTCACAGAAAAAAGACAAAACTAAGCTCATTGGGGAACATCGGTGGAAAAGGAGCCCTTGGAATTCGAGAAATACAGAGAGTGTTTTCCCAGTAGGATCTTTCAGACAGCCTCCATCCTACATGGCGCCACCAGCATACAGCTCCCCGAAGAATGGTGACAAGATAGCAGCAATACCAAAAGTTACTGCAGAGGCAAGTGTGGAAGCATTTAAGGAGCAGACATTTGAGAGCAGAAAAGTACCCTTTACAAATTTGACAGAAACACATTGTGATCCTTCATCAAACAATGGACATTATTTACAAAAAAATAACCAGAAACAGATCACAGAGAGTTATCGCAGTGTTATCACGGGTGGACAACACTGTCTAGGAGCCGTAAATGCATCCACTGTCATACAGTACACAACAATAAACACAAAACCCCCTTCAACTCAAGCACAGCTTCAGTACCGAGAGTCTCCACACATGACCCATCCTGATATTACTCGGACGAAGCAGACCAAACTCACAAGAAGAAAAGGTGGCGAGACTGTGTTTTGTCTAGTCTCTCGAATGGGAGAGGTGTCAGGCTTGTCAAGTTCTCCTGAGGAGCCACTTAAATCCCACGTGTTACCTCTGTTAACTGATTGCAAACCGGATTACAAGGCAATCACCACTGAGCAGACAAATTCACCTCAGCACAATGATGGCAGCAGACAAAATCAGGATGCGTGCTTGAAGAAAGACAAAGCTGTTGGGCAGCTCGACGGATCCTTAATGTTTGAAGAGTATGGGCACACACCCCTAGATCAAAGATCCAGTTCTATCCAGGATCTGGGTAATGCAACAGAACCAGATGAAAATAAAGAAGAGTTGCAATGTTATGTCCAAGGGAATGACTCAGAGTCAAACTGTTTAGCCCAGAAGTCACCAATGCAGACAGAAGGACATGAGAAACCATGCAGGGAAATCATAGAGAAATTCCCATTGTGGAAAGAGCCAAAATATCAGCATCACTCGACAGGGATGACAGAGCAAAGAAGCCAGGGGATAAACGATGAGCCTGAAGTTAGCAACAACTCAACAAACGACCAACAGCAGAGTCTTGTGATCATTGACGCAACCTGTGTTGTTGTCAAGGTTGAGCTTGTACTTCTTCCAGAGAAGGAGCATGTCCAGTATGTGTGTTTGACAGAGGAGAGTCCTTCGCCAAGTACTAGAGAGGAGACCGAGGTGCAGAAGCAGCACAGCAGTGTCGTCTCAAGCCAGGAGACTCCTGAAAACAATACTTTGGACGAGAGAGTAGAAAGGATTCTTGGAATACCACATGAGCATCCCAGGACAAGCATACAGACACACGAGAGCATTTCAGAAGAACATGACAGCTCCTGTGAGAGTCACATAGTGGATCCAGTAAAAGAGTTTGAGGAATCTCCATCCGCAGCTGCAACTGTTGATGACTGGCAAGCGCAGGAAAATAAACTGATGGTGGGACATTCCTGGAGTGGGACAACACTGGAGAATAATGAAGGCGTAGAAGAAATGCTCAACATAATGGAAGTGGAAGAGCAAACCACTGCACAAGGACCCGAAGCTGTGCTCGAAGACTTTGTGGCTTTCACAAATGCAAAATCCACATCTGAAATCACCATACATATGAATCAGTCCACAGAACAAGGACATAGACCTGCATTGGACGACAGTGTGGTTGAGCACAGTACACAGAAAGATAATGAGAACCATCAAACAGATACTAGTAAGGACCTTACTGAGGATAGTTCAACAGAAGACAACCTCTCAGATGATAAGCGAGTACTTGCTTCAGATTTCTTTACACCTGTCCTTAGGAAAAGTGCAGAAAATTGCATCAAAGTTGTTTTACCTTCACCTGTGGGTTCCAGGACTCTCAGAAGGTCAAGCTCTTCACCTCATTTGTCATTTACCTCTGCTTCCAACACCTTGGATGTATCAAATGTATCAGCTTCTCCTGTGGTTTCTCACACAGAGAATGAGCCACTGTTGCTTCCATCTTTTACTAACACAGAAACCACCCAGTGCTCCGGTTCTCCCAGTGTTCAGTCAAGCTGTACATCCTCACTCCCCGCTCCTTCTTCTACTCCAGTTCCAGAAGCTTTTGAAAATTCATCTCTCCCACAGACAAGAAATGTTCCTTCTGATGTTTTACTCTGTACTTCATTGCCCTGTGAACAAAAAATACAACATGCCAAGTCTCTGTGGGATGCGGTAAGTCGTATACGCAAACACACTGCTCCTAACTCCGAGACAGAGGACGAGGAGACGGTTGAGTTTGGGGAACAAACTGAAAGTGCAGACACTGACTTGAGACTGAACGCAGAAGGAGGAAAATTGGAGGATAATACTTTAGAGAACTGAACAAAAACCAAATTATGTTTCTTTTCCCGTGCCAGAAAAACACTGTGTGTATACTAGGGGTGCAACGGTTCTCGGTAAAAAAATCGAACCGTACCGTTCTCCACACACGGTTCGGCATACACTAGGACCGCGGTTCAACTTAAATCTGACAATGCATCTGTAATATGGTTTGTTAGAATTCGGCTAATGCATGTTTCTCTTGATGGATACAAATTCTGGCTTCCCAATACATTATAACAAGAGCGATCAGAGAGAAAAAAAACAATACGTGGACAAACCAGTCACTCTTTAATCAATGCGAGTGCTTTATGCTGGAATAACTGTCATTTATGCCGTCATCACGTGTTGATAGCGCAGGTGAGACCTGAACAGCACACGTTGCTATCTGTGTTTAAACTAAACTCATTTAAGCCTGGCCAGTTTAAATATTAAAGAGCCAGAAGATGTGAACTCGCGCGCGCAGTGAGAAGATCTGTGTGGTCACTCATCCGAAGCACGTGAACCCGCATCTCAGAACGGGCGCAAATATTAAGCTCTCTGTGAAGTATTGTGTTTGAATGGACAAATTCAAAAAATTATGTCAAAATGCCCATCTTGGTGAGTATCCTAACTGCTCTTGATTTAATAACTTTTGTAACTAAGGATTAATCTTTAATTTATACAGTCAAATATGCAATGTTATTTTACATTTGATTTATTCAATTTCTGTACCTAAAAACTATGTTAGACCTACCTAAAAAAACTGAAAAGCACTGTTTATTTTATTTGTATATTTTTTCACTGTTTATTTATTTGTGCTGTTACTTGTAGTTAAGATTATTTATTCTTATTTTCTTTATTTTTATTTGACAATATAGTTTTTTCCCTAAACATAGCACATACCGAAACCGTGACCCTAAAACCGTGATACAAACCGAACCGTGAGTAAAAAAACTATGTTAGACCTACTTAAAAAAAACTTAAAAGCACTGTTGATTTTATTTGTATCTCTTTCACTGTTTATTTATTTGTGCTGTTGCTTGTAGTTAGATTATTTGTTCTTATTTTCTTTATTTTTATTTGACAATATAGTTTTTTCCCTAAACATAGCACATACCGAACTGTACCGAAACCGTGACTCTAAAACCGTGATACAAACCGAACCGTGAGTAAGTTGAACCGTTGCACCCCTAGTGTATACTATCATTGCATTGCAAGCATAGGTTGTAGTGAAATAGCAACAACCCCAGTGACACCACACACCAATATTTCACTGCTCCAGGCACTGTCAGTCTGTGTATTGGTAGTAGGGATTTTACAGTGACGCTTTCTGCACTTTACATTGTTATGCCAGTACAGTAGGTAGCAACAAGTGACTGTCTTAATGAGTGAGTCATTGAATCTTTCATTCAATCAATTAGTTCAAAAATGGCGATTCATTCAGGAATGGAGCATCACCTGCTGTGTGTGAGACATGCAATGGTTAACTCTGATGTCTCTTTGTTTGAAAAAAAATTAATAACATGCAAGAAGGGTGTACTTAATTTCCACGTGATTTTCTGCATGATCTGCATAATTTTTGTTGCATAAATAGTTTTTAAAAAATTACGAGAAATTGGTTATGCCTGTCGCCTGAGGCTGGATTTGTCAAATAATAAAAACTGGACCTGTACAATCAATACATGAATGAATGAATGATAAAACATGGATAATAAATCACTTGCTATTTATCTGTAGCACTCACAGATACAGAGATTTGCTTTTTTTTTTTAATAGTCCCTATAATATATTTCCCTTATAGTGTGATTTTTACAATAGCAATAGGTCTAGAACATTAAAGGTTCTCAATAATGCCTTTTGGATCTTTTACTTCAAAATAAGGTTTTTCTTGTATTAGATGTTAAACTTCAGCTGTCTACTCACACACAAACACAACGAGGCCAAATGGTATGGAATGACAGACTAAAGTGTATTAGAAAAGTGTTGTTGTAGTGCAGTGTCAGCTTCTGAAGTTCAAACGGTGTGGGTATTAAATTACAGAAACAACAAGACTTGTGCCTATTTGTGACCTACTGTGCAGGAGGGTCAGTTGCACTGGGATTGCTTGATATTTTACATTCTCATTCGATCCTACTTTGTGGTTAAAGCTGTTGTAAACCTTCAGTTCTCATAATTTCCGCATTTTCCAATTTCGCATTACAATGGACATTGTACACAAGGGACAATAAAATTTATGCACAGTTTTTTTTGCATTTTTGAATGGAAAGTTTACTTTTAAGGTACTATTTTAAAATGCCTTTTGACAGCATTAATGTAACTAACAGGAGTCACACTGGGGCTTGTGGATCACTAACAATACCTTTACTTAAACAACCCTGTTAAAAGACTAGATAAAATATGCCCGATTTTACTGTATTAGCAGTTTAATATTTATAGCTGCTGTATCTTATCCATATGTAAAAACTAGCATTATAATTATACCGTACTGTATATTCATGAGTGTTTGAAGAATAACAACCTCCTCTAAAACTTACTGAAATATTAAAACGACTAATTTCAAACAATATATCAATATCGATCAACTATATCTAATGATTTTTACATTTTCTGAAGGAAATGTGAGTAGTGCTAGACCAGGGGTGCAAAACTCGGTTCCTGGAGAGCGAGAGTTTAGCTTCAACCCTAATTAAACACACTTGATCCAGCTCATCCAGTCCCTTCAGGTTCACAAACTCCTCTTTACAAGTTGAAAACTTTTTTTTTTTTTCATAATGTTTTTGCTAGGCTTCAGTTCTTATCTCTGCCACTGCATGCTACATGACAGTAATGTACATTATAAGCGAGAAGTTCACTAAAACACTCCTCAGACATCAATGGATTCATTTCACAGAGTAAACTGGCAATTAAATTTATGGTAATCTGTTAAGTAATCTACATGTTTAATGTAACGGTAATGGTATTACAAATGTTTAAAATTGCAACTATAAAGGAATATTTTGTATTATAAATACATAATGGAATTATATGTATTCTGTTACTCCTCAATACTGTCAGTTAGTTACAATTAACATTTCATTATAAAAATTTAATGGAAAACAACAATTTCACTGAAGTGTACAATTTGCCACATAACTGGTATTTATACATACGTTTATAGTACATATTCAAACCTCCCAGCTCTAGATGTAAAAATAGACTCTGATACACTACACAAGCCGTGGTGTGGAGGATGGATGGATGGACGGCTCATCTCAAAGTGGCTTTATAAATATTGATATTGTTCTCAGGATCTCTTTGCACAAGCTCCACGCTGAACATTTGCGGTAACATGCGGTCGTAGAAGTCCTGAGCGCCGTGTTCTCTGCGCATCGTTGACGCCAGGTAGACAACAGCCCCGTCCCGGCACAGATGAACCAGTGTGTCCAAGAGAAGAGGGAAGGTTTCAGGCAGATAGACGATATCGGCGCCCAGCACAAAGTCCCAGCTGGAGGAGAATCGGCTGTGGTCCAGGCCCCACGCCAGCGCTGACACAGCGGGGCCGTCTGAGGGCCATCCTGAGAGAGGCGTGTTCACTGCAATGTTCCTCTCTATCTGAGAAACAGCAGAAGGTAAGTCTGTGATGGTCACATGGGCTCCTAAAAGACATACGAAGACTGCATTACACTCATTTTGACAGCAGTGAAAGTTTGGTTGAGTGAGAGATTTTCAGCTCTCCTTATGTTCATGTTGAGATGAATTTTGAGAATTGCACAAACATAAATCAAAGCTTTACCTAATCGTGCAGCCACTATGCCAACCAGTCCTGTTCCTCCACCCAACTCTATGATCCGCGTCCCACTGAGATCCAGAGACTCGTTCTCAAAGAACTGACATAAATGCAGAGCCTGTGACAAACAAGGTAAATGACTTACAGTGCCCTCCACTAATATTGGCACCTTTGTTAAATATGAGCAAAGGCGTACAAAATTCACAAAATTCTAACCTATTATTGAAGTAAAACAATTGAAAGTGGGGAGAAAATCTCATGATGAAATAAATGTTTTTCTCCAATGCATGTTGGCCACAATTATTGGCACCCCTAGAAATTCTTATGAGTAAAATATCTCTAAAGTATAGGGTTAGGGTTAGGGTTCCCATTCATATTTAGCATTTTTTTAGGTGACTGAAATTGTCCAGCCATGACTTCCTGTTCCACAGGATTATAAATATGAGTAACACAAAGTAAAAATTCCCTTAATCATCCATCACAAGGAGTAAAACCAAAGAATATAGTTCTGATGTGCAGAACAAGATTGTTGAGCTTCACAAAATAGAAAGTGTCTGTAAGAAAAGAGCTAAAGCATTGAAAATCCCCATTTCCACCATCAGGGCAATAATTAAGAGTTTCTAATCAACTAAAGATGTTACGAATCTGCCTGGAAGAGAATGTGCGTCTATATCGTCCTAATGCACGCTGAGGAGGAGAGTTTGAGTGGCTAAAGACTCTCCAAGCATCACAGCTGGAGAACTGCAGAGATTAGTTGAGTCTTCGGGTCAGAAAGCCTAAAAAATATGTATCAAATACCACATGGTGTTCGGGAGGGTTTCAAGACAATTTCTCCTTGCTTATCCAAAAACAATTTCCAGCATATTCAGTTGTCAGACACGACTGGAACTTCACATAGCACTGGCTATTGCAGTGATGCCATGCATCTAAACAAGATGTCCGGATGCATGGCATCATGGATTCAATCAAATACCAACAGATAAAAAGATGTTGCAATAATTGTGGCCAACATGAACTAGAGAAAATATGTATTTCACAATTAGATTTCCCCCCGTATTCCATTGTTTTACTTTATTAATAGGTTAGAATTTTGTGAATTTTTGTAATGAAAGCTCAAAAGGATAAACAATGCAGATTTATTTTCACAGCTGCATTTGCTCATATTTACCAAGGATGCCAATATTAGTGGAGGGCACTGTATGAGCCTAATCCATGTAATGGGATTTATTTATGGATGTTAATTTAGATTTACAATTTAAATGCAATTCTAAAAGATTTAATGGATGTAATTTTAATTATGTAACTATGTCACTGGCTCATCTGCTGTAGATGTGAGTGCATGAACTGATGAACAGACAA